CTAAAATGATAAAATAACCCCAAATTGGGGTTCATGGCCACTCCCTACAATTAGTATTATTCCCCTTGGTACATACTGCACCCTATTTCTGAATGATCTTGCACAAGCTGTAGGCCTACCGACTAATGTCTTCTCCAGCCATTTGAATGCTATTGTGGAATTTGCTCCTTTTTCTAAATCATGACAATAAATTTAATAATTTACTGGTTAATTACATTTATAGTAGTTGTAAGATGACTTGGTGGGACTAGGAGCTACATTGTAAAAAACCAAAAGTTATAGATTTGAAGGTCAGCATGGAATTAGCTAATTTTTAAAAAAAAATCTTCATGAGTTGTGTGCATCACTAGTAATATCAACATTTGTTGTCCATCCATACTTAGAGCCATAGAGTAATACAGTATAGTGACAATAGGCTCTTCACCCAACTCACCATGATGCCTACTCAGCTAGTTCCAATTGCCCACATTTGCCTACATCCGTGTACCTATCCAAATGTTTTTTTAGATGTTGCTATTGTACCTGCCTCAACCACTTTCTCCAGCAGCCCATTCCATACATGCACCACTCACTGTGAAGAAGTTGCCCCTCCGGCCCTCCTTAAATCTAACCCCTCTCACCTTAAACCTATGCCCGCTGGTTTTCAATTCCCAATCCCTGGGAAAAAGACTATATGCATTCATCTTATATATGCGACTCATGATTTTATACACCTCAATAGGTCACTTCTTATTCACCTACGTTCCAAGGAATAAAGTCCTATCCTGGCCAACCTCTCCCTATAACTCAGGCCTATTAGTCCTGGTGACATCCTCATAAATCTTCTTTACACACTTTCCAGTTTAACTATGTTTTTCCTATAATAGGGTGACCAAAACTATAAACAATACTCCAAGTGCAGCCTCGCCAATGACTTATACAACTGTAACGTAGCGTCCCAACTCCTATATTCAGTGCCTCGACCAATGAAGACCAGCATACTAAATGCCTTCTTCACCTTGTCCACTTTCAACGAGCAATGTACTTGTGCTCAGAGATCCCTCTGTTCCACAACATTCCTCAGGAGCTCACTATTTACTGTACAAATCCTACCTCGGTTTGACTTTCCAAAGTGCAACACCTCACACTTATCTGTATTGAATCGCATTTGCCAATCCTCAGCCCACTTCCCAATCTGATCAAGATCCCTCTAATTTTTGATAACCTTCCTCACTATCAATGATACCTCATAATTTTGTATCATCCACAAACTCACTAATCATGCCTTGTACAATCACATCCAGATCATTTATGTGAACTACAAATAACGAAGTTTTCAGCACCGACCCACCTTGTCAAAGGCCTTAGTGACGTCCATATAGACAAGGTCCATATAGACAACGTCCACTGCCCTACCCTCATCCATCCTCTTGGTTACCTCTTTGAAAAACTCTAAAAGATTTGTCAGACTTCCTGTGCACAAATCCATGCTGACTATCCCTAATCAGATCTTGACTATCCAAATGTTGGTGATTCCTGTCCCTCAGTGTCCTGTCCTATAACTTGTCTATCACTGATGTCAGGCTCACTGGCCCTGTAGTTCCCTGGTTTATCTTTGCCACCTTTCTTAAACAACAGAACAACATTAGTCACTTTCCAGTCTTCTGGAACTTCACCAGTGGCTAAAGACGAAGCAAAAATCTCTGCAAAGGCCTCTGCAATTTCTTTCCTAGCCACCCACAATGTCCAAAAATAGACTTGATCTGGCCCAGGGGATTTATCCACCTTAATGCGCTTTAAGGCTGCAAACACCATCTCTCTGGAAATGTGTATGTTGTCCAAAATATTCCCACTTGTTTCCCTTATTTCCTTAGAATCCATGATTCTCTCTTCAGTAAACACTGGAGAAATATTTATAAAAGATCTCCCCCATTTCCTGTGGCTCCACACATACATGGCCATACTGATCATTAGGGAGAGAATAGGTCCCATTAGCCACTCTTTTAATATAGCTATAAAACCTCTTGGGATTATCCTTAACTTTATCTGCCAGATCCATCCCACACCCTCTTTTTGCTCTTCTGATTTCCCTCTTAAGTGTGCAACTACACTTTTTATAGTCCTCTAAGGATTCACTTGAACCTGATAGCTTAAATGCAGTATATGCTACCTTCTTTTTCTGACCAGAGCCTCAGTATCCCTTGTCAGCCAGGGATCCCTAAACCCGCCAGCTTTTCCCTTCACCCTAACAGGGACGTAATGTCCCTGAACTCTTGCTATCACACTTTTTTAAAAGTCTCCCATTTGCCAGTTGTTTCTTTTCCTTCAAACAGACTCACCCAATTGACCTCTGCTAGATTCTGCCTACTGGCCCCAAAATTGGCCCTGTTTGAGTTGAGCACCTTACCCTGTGGACCTGTCCTATCTTTTTCCATAGCTGTGTTAAAACTAGGAGAGTTATGGTCACTGGACACCAAGTGCCCTCCGACTTGCCCTGGAAAAGGTGGTGTTGAGCCACGTGCTTCAGCCCATCAGTATATGTGCTGTTAGGAAGGGAGTCTCAGGATTTTGGCACAGTGCAGCAGAGAAGAGTTGGTAGTTCAAAATCAGAATGGTGTGTGCCTTGGTGGATACCTGCAGGTGGTGGTATTCCGATATATCTGTTGCCCTTGGTTTTTCTAACTGGTAACTGTCACAAGTTTGAAAGACTAGGAAGTTTGGCAAATTCCTGTGCTGCATCTACTTGGTTATACACACTGCTACCACTGAACATCAGATGTGGATGTTGGAGGTGGTGGATGGGGTGCTAGTTAAACAGGCTGCTTTTGGCCTGGATACGTCAAGCTTCTTGAGTTTTGTTGGAGCTATGTTCATTCAGGTGAGAGGAGAGTATTCTGTCAGATAACTGACTTGTGCTGTGTGATGGACAGGTTGACAGAAGGTGAGTTACTTGCTGCAGATTCCCAGACTTTGAACTCTGTTGTAGCTATAGTGTTCCAGTGAATTTATGGTCAATGGTTACAGCTTGTTCATAATATGAGGGTTCAGTGATAGCAATGTCACTTAATGTGAATGAAGATGGTTAGTTCTTCCCTGTTTTGAGATGGCATGAGTATTACTTGCCACTTAACCTGGGTGACATTCAGACTGGTTTTGCTGCATGTGAGCACAGACTGCTTCAGTATCAGATGAGGTGCCAAAAATGTTGAATTTGGTACAACCATCAGTGAACACCCCCACTTTATGGTCTTCTGATGGAGGGAAGTTCATTGAAGCATCTGAAGATAGTTGGTTCTAGAACACTACTCTGAAGAACTGTCCACAGGCTGAGAGAATTGACCTCCAACAGCTGCATCCGTTTTCCTTTGTGCTCATTATGACCCAGAGGAGAGTTTCTCTTTGATCCCCAATGCCTTCAATTTTGCCAGTACTCTGTGATATCACACTTGGTCAAATGCTGCTTTGATGTTAAGGGCGGTCACTGTCACCTCATGGCTCAATCAGTCTTTTGTCCATGTTTGAGCCAAGTGGCCCTGTTGAAACCCAAAAAGAGCATCTGTGACCAAGTTATAGAAGTGTGTAAGGTACCACATGATAGAATTATTGACAACAACTTCCATTTTATTGATGATCAAGGGGAGCTTGATTGGGCAAAAGAATGGCTGAATTTGATTTGTCCTGCATTGTCGATTAGAAATTTATACAGGTACAAGAATAGGCAAGGTTTAGGGCAATACAGACCAAAAGCAGGCAAATGAGACTGGTTAATTTTGGGATACCTCATTGGCATGGATAAGTTAGATTGAAGGGTCTGTTTCTGCGTTTTATTACTCTGACTCTGTCTGGACTGGAGTAGTTTACCTAGGGGTGTGACTATTTCTGGATTGCGAGTCACTTGTTTATACTGACCAGCAAGGCCTACAATTACTTGTAAAAGAATACATATTTCATGGCTGCAGAAAGAGTGAAGGGGAGAGTGGAAATAGTTGGATAGTCATTTCAAACAACCAACATAGGATGCATCAAATGACCACTTCCTATATTGTACGATTCTATTGTCAGAGCTAAATGTGCACCCATCGCTCAATATTTTTAATCAAACCTGTTCAGATGTGTTGGCAGAACTTTAGAGCAGGTTGGACTTGGCTAGTTCAAAGGGACACTACCATTGATATGAGATGGCTGTTGGTTCTGATGCATATTGTGACAAATGGCTATAAAAATGTGAACGTGTTTAGATTTGTGTCCCATTCTTAGCAAGACTGAATATTTCTGCGGTAAGTGCATGGCCTAAAATGATACTGATGGTGGCAGAAAATTTGTCTCCTGTTCTTGTTATTGACCGAAGGAAGTGACTGAGTAGTCTATCCCACTGAAAATGAAAATACCCTTCTGTGAATTCTTGAAAGCGTAATCAGATTCTTGACAAAATAACACATTTCCCTATGGTTTTAGCAGCCTGCATTTCCCAAATACCTTGTCAACAAAGTCTTGAGCTACAGGTTTGCCTAGTCTCTTCTCTTTTCGAATCCTTTTACGTTAACGTTTAACTGCTTTTCATTACGTGATCTTTAAGGTAAATTTTAATTGAATTGAATTGTCAAATTGAATACCCAGTTCGGTCAAATGTCTTCGTGTGTATAGCTAACTTATCACAATTCACCTTCCAGTGCAGTTTTGCTTTAGCAAAAGTGAAATTTAAAAGATAATGTAGTTTGGAAACTTCAAAATAGAACCAGAAATTACTGGAGGTATGGAGAAAGTTATTGTTTGAAAGAGTAGTTAAAATTTTGGCATCCAATGCAAATTTAAATTAAATTTACAAAAGACACATGGTTCTATATTTTACATCTAGTCAAGGCTGGTATTGAGAGAGTTCAATCAAGTTGGGAGACAGTGATTAATTTACTTTGCGGCAATTATGTTCCTCTGAACAAAGATCTGATAAAGTTACAAAGATGCACTGTATCGTACAAGCGATACGTTAAAGTGAACCTGTTTTGACAACATTCTAATATTTTTCGTCTTGCTCCCAGCTTACTGAGAAGTTCGTTAACAAGATTGATTCTGCAAGGAGCTATAGGTCCTGCATCAGCGGCCATGCACTAAATACTTTAGCTACCATTAAATAAATTTTTGATTAGTTAAACAGTTAATGTAGTATAAGTGATTTATGCAATTGATCTTGTTACTGCCACACATACACAATCTAGTGTCAGCCTCTTATGATACAAAATCATTTTACTACCTTATTAATCAAAATAATAATTTTATCTTAAAATTGTTCAACAGGCATTGCTGTGTGTATGATAAGTAGCAGCAGCTGAAGGTTTACGCCCCTTCATCCATTTCATTTAGGGTTATTTTCAGCATTATTTCCAGGTTTTGAAGTTCACCTTTTCAAATGGTAATGTCGTGAATAAAAGCGAAGTACCTTTGATTGTTTAAACTGAAGAATTATCAGTACTACTGAGATTTAAACTGTCCATTTCTGTGAAGTATTTTTGACTTTTTTGAGTTTTGTTTATTTAACTATAGTGATTAGTTCAGTTGGCTTGACAACTAAAGGATGATGCAGAATTATACTAATAGAAGAAGTTGAATCCTAGTGCCAGCTGTTGGTGGTTTGTTGAGGCCTGCCCCTGTGCTTTGCCCCACATTTACAGAATCATGCCTCCCCAAGCAGTGTATAAATCAGTATGGTCAGTCTAATGGTGATAGATGCTGAATGTCTTTTTATGGATTTTGGCTAATTGCCATCACTATCTGTTGAGGCCACAAAATGAATGGGCAGCATTTCTATGTACCCGATGATGTTCTGGGTAGTGTTTCAATGATGCATGTTGGTTTGAGTCTAAAATGCTGTTGTCTTTTTTCTAGTATGTGGTGACATTCATGGTCAGTTCTTTGACATGATGAAGTTATTTGAAGTAGGAGGGTCACCAGCCAGCACCAGATACCTCTTCCTTGGCGATTATGTGGACCGAGGTTATTTCAGCATAGAGGTAAGGAGGATTGTGTAATTCCTTGTCAGCAGACTTTTCTTTGCTCAACAGGGGGGAAAGAGAGATATCTCCTTCCCAAAATCCACAAACCTGGCTGCCCTGGTCGACCCATTGTCTCCGCTTGCTCCTGCCCCACCGAACTTATCTCCACCGATCTCGACTCCATATTCTCCCCCTTGGTCCAGAAACTCCCCACCTACGTCCGTGACACCACCCATGCCCTCCACCTCCTCCAGAACTTACAATTCCCCAGTCCCCAACACCTCGTCTTTACCATGGACGTCCAGTCCCTATACACCTGCATTCCCCATGCAGATGGCCTAAAGGCCCTCCGCTTCTTCCTGTCCCGCAGGCCCGACCAGTCCCCTTCCACTGACCCCCCTTGTCCGCTTAGCTAAACTCGTCCTCACCCTCAACAACTTCTCTTTCAATTCCTCCCACTTCCTACAGACAAAGGGGGTGGCCATGGGTACCCGCATGGGCCCAAGCTATGCCTGCCTGTTTGTAGGTTACGTGGAACAATCCCTCTTCCGTACCTACACTGGCCCTAAACCCCACCTCTTCCTCCATTACATTGACTGTATCGGCGGTGCCTCGTGCTCCCACAAGGAGCTCGAACAGTTCATCCACTTCACCAACACCTTCCACCCCAACCTTAAGTTCACCTGCACCATCTCTAACACCTCTCTCTCCTTCCTGGACCTCTCTGTTTTCATCTCTGGCAACTACCTGGAAACCAATATCCATTTCAAGCCCACCGACTCCCACAGCTACCTAGAATACACCACCTCCCACCCACCTTTCTGCAAAAATGCCATCCCCTATTCCCAATTCCTTTGCCTTTGCCTCCGCCTCCGCCGCATCTGCTCCCAGGATGAGGCCTTCCACTCCCGTACATCTCGGATGTCCTCGTTTTTCAAAGGACCGCAACTCTCCCCCCCACTTCAGTGGTTGAGAACGCCCTCGACCGTGTCTCCCGCATTTCCCGCAACTCATCCCTCACACCCCCTCCCCGCAATAACAACCAAAACAGAATCCCCCTCGTCCTCACGTACCACCCCACCAACCTCCGGATCCAACGCATCATCCTCCGACACTTCTGCCATCTGCAATCCAACCCCACCACCAAAGGCATTTTTCCCTCCCCACCCTTATCTGCTTTCCAGAGGGACCACTCTCTATGGGACTCCCTTGTCCGCTCCACACTCCCCTCCAGCCCCACCACACCCGGCAC